CAAATTTGTGGAATACAGAACTAGATGCTGAATGTCCTTTGTACATTTGAAGGTTCTCTGCAATATTTAAGTTACAAATAACCAGTAGATGTTAGCAGGTGTTGGAAGCCGCCAGTGGATGTCAGGGACATAACTTCAGATGTGCGCCTCAGCATCATCAAGTGTTTAGGCGTTGTAATCAATGATGTAATCAACGCTCAGTAGATCAGATGTCATTACCTCTATGCCTTTTCAAACTAAACACTGTCCCATTTTAGAACTCAGGAAAAGATGGAGAATATCCCTTTCCTGTTCAATCGCACTCAATAATGCCTACCACCAGTTGATGTTAGCAGATGTTAGTGACCACAAGCAGATGTTAGGGACATATCTTCAGTTGTATACCATAGTGTCATCAGGTGTTTCTGCGTTTTAATCAGAAGTCACCCTCTTCTAAGGCAGACCCAACACAGGCTGATCAGACCTGGGTGCTATCCCCAGCATCTTGGGGCCCAGTTGGGATCTTTGCTCCAGATCCAGAGCCATTAGATGCAGTATTCTGCAGTGTGTGATGTTTCTTTTATAGGGGGTGCATGTTTGTGCTGCTTCATCAACCACATCCTCACAGCGTAAAATCTAAAGTGTAGATGGCGCACAGGGTTTTAGACCAGAGTATCAAGTCTGGTCTCATGGTGGTCGTGACAATATGTGATGGAACTGTAAGCCAGTCAGTGGTGGAGGCCCTCTCTGTTCCCCTTCTTGGACAAATGTTGTCCTGAACTGCGTTTGGTTTGGACGGCAAGACATTGGTGGCAGTTCTCATTCTAGCCCATGTTATTATTTCTTCAAGTTTCCCTAGCAACTGTCTGGTGCATGGCGATGTTGTGGTCAGGGTTGTCATGACGTTCATGTATGCCCTGATTGGTGTTAATTGGAACCCGACTTTTGTCACTCACCACCTACCACCCATTTTGAAGCTCTGATAATCACTTTCATCATCATGATGAACTTGAGTGGGGAGAGCTATGTAGCCAGCTATGATGCCTATAGACGCTCATGTTATGTTCTTTGGCATGTTGCAGGAAAGAGATGGAGAAGGAGGCCAGCATGGACATTAGGCTGAAAGATGCTGAACACAAGAGAGTTTTGGCTCTGCAGAAGAAGTCCAAGAAAAAACAGGAAGAGCTGCGGAGACTCAACCAAATCAAGAGCCTACAGGAAGGCTAGAGTGGACCTGAACAGAGGCACCAAGGCTGCTAAAATGAAGTATAGAGATCAACAACTGCAGCGGGTCATCAAGACTGCTCAGAGGATCATCGACTCCCCACTTCCACACCTAGAGGAGATCTACTCCAGTCGTCTCCTCCGACGGGCCACAAAGATCTGGGATGACCCCACCCACCCAGGACACTCTCTATTCACCAGCCTTCCCTCTGGCAGAGTCAGAGTAATGAGAGCCCGCACCAACAGACTAAAACAGCTTCTTCCCCATGGCTGTGAAAAGACTGCTGCTCATCCCGACCCCATCACGACCCCCGCCCCACTCCTGATACTGACTCATACTCTTTTTAAACTCTCTACATTGCACTTTATTTGTACCATTTATTGCATTTTATTTTTTATGACCATTGTAGCTGCTACGATACAAGAGATGCTACCGAACAAAATTTTGTTGTACTTGTTGCAATGACAATAAAGCTTCTTAACTTCATGGTATTATTTCGAGCTGAAAACAAGCTGCTCTTCTTCCTCTGAAAACTCTTCATGAATCTATAATATTTTAAACAAATACATATTTTTCCACTTTTCTATTGGTGATAACTTTATTTTAGTGGCATTTTCTGCCAGTGCAGATCATCTCACCACAGTTATCACTCTCCATCCATTTCTGCAGGTCTTTGTAAAATGGGATCAAACTATGTATTTCTTGTCAAGGAGGCGATTGTGTTGCTGGACAAGTTCAATGATGGCAAACAGACTTTGGATCAGTTCATAGAAGATGCTGCTAAAGATCTACTTTTCCAGAAAAAAAGACATTGAGGCAGTTATCAAAGAAGAAAATGTTTTGCCCGCTATTTAAAGTTTATTTAGATTTACAAAGATATTTTTTACCTATAAGAGTGTTTTAGGTATGTTTTGAAGTAAATATAGGAACCTTGACAGGTCACCCATTGACAGGGGAAATGTTCGCCAATATTCATTATCACTCCTAAGTTTATCAAAACTCTATTGTTCAGTTTAAAAAGAAGGTCTCATTGCTGAGGAACAGTGGTCCCCAAGTACTGTACATGTTCAGTAATCTTAAACAGAAGATTGCAGAGAAACTCTTCCTTTAGGTAACTTCACTAACTGTATTTACTTCCAATATTGCTAATCAGTTAGTTTACATATGTACTGACTGCTGTTTTAGCCTGTAGATAACCCTTAGGAGAACATAGACCTGGCCTTTATCCTGTAGATTCTGTAGGGGCTGATTCACTGAACTCATGAGGCTTTTGTTTTATAGGTACCAATCACCACATACAGATCTCCAAAGGAGCAGCAGGTAGGACAGAAGAACCTGCGCAGAGCATATCTTCCCAAGTAGAGCTGCCGCCCTAACTAGGTCACAGAGGTTATGTGGTTATTCTTCCACTTTCCACAATTCATTTATTTTATGGTTGGGTAATATTGCTCAAGTGTCATAACACACTACCGGATGGATAATAAGACCCATGAATGGAAGAGAGATGAACCAAGCACGAGAAGGGGTTTCCAGTGGCTGCTTTGGACATGGAACGCAATTGCTGAGACACACCCAGACTGTCTTGGACATCTTACCATTTTTGGCACTCATTTTCTCCAAGATGTTTTACTGACAAAGCTGTTTTGAATTGTGCTTTGAGCCATCACTGTTTGAATTTTTTTTTCATATAAAAAAAAAATAAAAAGAGAATAACCATCAGAAGACTAAGGTACAATGTGTGATTTTACTCTTATCTTGAAAAATGCTCTGACATCTAAAAGGCAAAAGATGGACTGTTTAACAAATATATAATAATACAGGAAATATAAAAAGAGGGGGTAGTGTAAAGGCTGAGCGCGTGAACTGAGGACCCAAAAGCACAACTGGTGGTCGTTTAATCCAGTCAGGGTTTGTTACATCCCCCTCTTGTGTCAGTTTGGTGTATGTGTGTTCTGTTCTGTTCCTCTGTTTTCTCCCCATGCATCAGTCAATCAAGCCCACCTGTGTCCAATCATCATTATGATTTCTTTGCTTGGGCACCGTTCCCTTGTTCCCTGTGGCATTTATTTTTGTATCATAAATTATTATTCCTTGTACCCGAACCTTGGTTTGTTTACTTGTGTTGCCACACCACACACCCTGCTCTGCGCAGTGTTAGGCCCTTCGAATATCCCGAGACACTAAATGTGAGTATCTAATTAAAACAGGAAGTGACATAAACAGGAAATACTGAGTGTGTGTGAGTGTGTGTTTGCATGTTTTTCTATGACTTGTACTGTAATCCTATATAGTTATTGATTTTTTTCATAGAATAAGACATTGATCTCCTAAGACAGAAATAGAAACATAGACCTTTGATGTGCATTTGAGCGCATTGCTGTTTCACTGCGATGGCCTAAAGATGTGTGGTCTCTTTTGCTTCAGTGCAAGTTGACGGGAAAAGCCCAAGAGGTTTTGTCAACGCTAACAGACAGTGTATCATATGATACGGTAAAAGCTACAGTTCTTCGGGCATACGAGCTTGTGCCGGAGGCATACAGGCAAAAGTTTAGAGGTCACAAGAAGGCTCAAAGCCAAACATTTATGGAATTCGCTCGGGAGAAGGTCAGTGCACGGCCAGCAACGCAACAGATATTGGGTCTCTCCGCGAGTTGATATTGATGGAGGAATTTAAAAATAGTGTATCCGAGCGTCTGGTTACCCATTTAAATGAACAGAAAGTTCTGTCGTTGGCACAAGCAGCTGTGCTCGCAGATTAATTTGTTTTAACTCATAAAAATGTGTATGTGTATTCTCGGAATGAAGGCAGGTCTCCTCCATCTTCTTCCACTAGGCCTACTGTGTCAGCCGCAGCTCCTTCCTGTTACAAGGAAGAGCGAGTGTTTTTATTGCCACAAGTCGGGTCATGTAATTGCAGATTGCATAGTCTTAAAAAAGAAACGTCCACAGCTCGTTAAGCAACCTAAGGGGGTGGGTTTTATACGCACTGTTTCTCGTCCTGTGACAGTAGTGCCTAAAGTGGTGGATGACTCAAATTTTACCGATCCCTGTTACAAACCATTTTTGCTTGATGGACTGGTGTCACTGCTCAGTGATCCAAATTCTCAGCGCCCCATGCGTATTCTTCAAGATACTGGTGCTTCCCAATCTCTTGTCCTGGCGAATGTGCTACCCTGGTCGGCCAAATCCTCATGTGGATCGAGTGTGTTGATTCAGGGAATAGAAATGGGATGTGTACCAGTGCCATTGCACAATATGTACTTGAGCTGTGCATTAGCAAGTGGTGTGTTTAGAGTAGGTGTACAACCTTCCCTACCAGTGAAGGGAGTGTCCTTTATATTGGGGAATGATCTGGCAGGAGGTTAAGTGTTGCCTACCCTAGAGCTGTTGGAGGAAACAAAGACTCAGTCCGAAGACTCGGGCTGGAGTTTCCCTGGGGTTTTCCCAGCCTGTGCTGTCACACGTGCTCAGTCAAGAAAGCTGGGTGATGTTGTTGACCTGGCTGCCTCTTTCTTAGCCTCGGTATTTGCCACAGATCAATCAGAAACATCAGAGCTAGTTGATGAGAAAGTTGCTTGTGTCAGGGAGTGCCCTGAAAGAAAGGGTGCTGCATTAAGTAAGGGTGCTCTGGGCAACTCTGTCACACATGATCAGCTAGTGGCTTGACCCTGATTACGGATGAAAATGGAATGTGGTATGTCAACTTGTGATTCCAGTAGCATATCGTCAGCAGGTTTTGTCCCTTGCTCATGACAACTTGTGGTCTGGCCATTTAGGTATCCGAAAGACCTATGATCATCTTAGGCACTTCTTTTGGCCAGGATTAAAAAAGATGTTGCTCATTTCTGCTGTACATGTCACACCTGTCAGGTTACAGGAAAACCAAATCAGGTTATTCCTCCTGCTCCACTCCATCCAATACCAGTGATACCAAAAAGCAGTTCCCCATTCTCTGAAACCAGAAGACCAGGTTTTGGTTCTGTTACCTATTCCTGGTTCCTCACTCTCTGCACGGTTTTCCGGACCATACTTTATTGAACGGAAGTTAAGCGAAACTGATTATATTGTCCGTACTCCAGATCGGAGACGCCAGTCTCGTGTTCGCCACATAAACATGCTGAAGCTGTACCATCCTAGAGAAGACCCTCAGACAGATAAATGAGTTCCAGTGCCTTTTTAATGATGTACCCTCCTGTACTAATGTCTTAGAGCATGATATTGATGTCAGTGAAGTAACTCCTATTAAGCAGCATCCATACAGTGTAAACACTTTTAAACGGTCAGTGATGAACAGGAGGTTTCCTATCTGCTGACAAATCAGTTGGCAAAACCAAGCTCTAGTCCGTGGACCTCTCCGTGTCTGCTGGTTTCCAAACCAGACTCCACGTTTCGATTTTGTACTGACTATAGGAAGGTGAACAAAGTAACAGTACCTGGTGCCCCTTATTGCTCGTGCATCAGAGATATCTGCATTTGTAACGACTGATAATTTCCTGCAATATTCTGTGATGACTTTTGGAATGCGAAATGCTCAACCACATTTCAGCGCTTGGTGAACATTGTTTTAGAAAACGTCCCTAACTGTACTGCTTATCTTGATGATCTTGTTGTGCATTCATCTGACTGGCCCTCTCATCTAGATTCATTAAGGACTGTGTTTCAGTGGTTAGCAGCAGCTTCCCTAACCGTAAATCTGGCCAAGTGCGAGTTTGGAAAGGCCACTATCTCCTACCTGGGAAAACAAGTAGGAGGAGGCCAGGTACGTCCTGTTAAGACCAAGGTAGTGGCTATAGAGACTTTTCCAGTTCCCACCACCCGGTGTGAGTTGTGCCGTTTTCTAGGTATGGCTGGTTATTACCGTTGGTTTTGCAGAAATTTCTCCTCTGTTGTAGCCCCACTGACTGGTCTACTGAGCCCATTGGTTCCATTTGTTTGGTCTGCTGACTATCAAGCAGCTTTTGTATGTGCTAAAGCACTGTTGTGTAATTCACCTGTTGCCCCAGATTTTAGAAAACCTTTCAAGCTGGAGGTTGATGCAAATGCTGTTGGTGCAGATGCTGTTCTGGTCCAGGAGGATTCAGACGGTCTGGACCATCCAGTTTGCTACTTCTCTAAGAAGTTTAACAAATGTCAGTCTCGCTACTCTAAAATAGAGCAGGAGACTTTGGCTTTGTTGTTAGCACATCAATTCTTTGACGTCTATGTTGGTTCAAGTGTACTACCAATTACTGTATATACTGACCATAACCCAACAGTCTTTTTAGACAGAATGTGTAACCACAATCAGCGCCTAATGCGTTGGGCTCTTTTAGTTCAAGGGTTCAACCTAGAAATCCAGCAAAAGAAAGGTACTGAAAATGTATGTGCAGATGCTTTGTCACGGATGTATGGGTAAATCGGTTTTGATCATTGTTGTCACAAGCCCCAGGGGCTTGCTCTTATGGATGGGAGTGTTATGTCCCCCTCTTGTGTCAGTTTGGTGTATGTGTGTTCTGTTCTATTCCTCTGTTTTCTCCCCAGGTGATCAGTCACTCAAGCCCACCTGTGTCCAATCATCCCACTGGTCCTGTCTGCCAATCAGAGGGCGCCACCGCCACCTATATATATGTGCTGTGTTCGTGTGTAAGGCCCCTTTTTGAGAGGGAGAAGTGCTGTTTTTGAGTTGGCTTGTTGGTTATCTGTGGTTTCTGTGTTGTTCGCTAGATGGTGGTGTGTTTGGTCAGAGTTGTGTTGTTTCTGTATTCTTTGTTTGGTGGTCTGTACTCGGTGCAGTGTTTTTGTTCAATTTTGCCTCACGCACAGGGGAAAGGTGAACAGGTAAGACACCCATAGGTTTACATTTACACCAAGTAGCCATACACCTGTTGAAATCACTAGGTAAGGAGTAGGTGCCACACCATGTATTTATGTGTAGAGTAGCTTAGAATTCGGTTTCTGTGATAGCATAGAGTTGCTGCACTAGCTTAGGACTGAAAGTTTTGATTTATGATTTCTTTGCTTGGGCACCGCTCATAGTTCCCTTGTTCCCTGTGGTGTTTATTTTTGTATAATAAATTATTGTTCCTTTTACAAGAACCTTGGTTTAGTCTACTTGTGTTGCCACACCACACACCCTGCTCTGCGCAGTGTTAGGCCCTTTCAAACATCCCTAGACACTATATAATCAAAAGGGTCGTAACAGTCCTAACAGACTTACTACAGAAATTACAATTTAACATTTTGCCTACAGCGACTTATGTTACTGTAAGCTAATGTTTAACACAATGTGACAAAATACAATTCAACTCAACTAACATTCAGCAAAATTGACACATTTTGTAAAGTTAAGGGAAACTAACATTCACCTTTTAAGCGAGGGCAACACAAAACTACGGAGCCCGTCTGGTGACGTGTGGAAAAAAAACATGTGCTCTAAGGTTATCCTTCACCTTAGCAGCAAAGGCTCAATTCGTGGCAGTGGCAGCTAATAGTGGCACTTCCAGCTGCACTGCCCACGCATTAAGCAAGTCGTGGCCACGGGATAGGATCTCGTTCCCATGCGTTATTAATTTGTGGCCATGGAATTTTTTTTTTTCCACCCATGTCACCAGACGGGCTCTGTACAAAACTTTGTTTGCTATCACAATGGAACAAGCAGACATATCTTTAGACGATAATTTTACTTATGTGCTCTTTAGTCGTGTTGTGCCAATCCTCTCCGAAGAAAAAAAAACCCAAACTGCATCGCTGTGCAGAACTGTGCGTGCGTGTGTGTGTGTGTGTGTGTGTGTGTGTGTCACTGGTTGGCGGGCCTCACAGGTTCAACAGGTACTGCCCATATAAAGTGTGTTACACACATTACACAGGTAATGTCCATGTGTCCCTCTCTGTCCTGTGACTTTTCCAACTGAACCATGGGGGTTTTGTTTTTCCTCGGCTGGCTAAACCTCGCACCGCTTCCCCCTACGACGTCTTGGAAAAGTGTACATCAATATGGTGGATTGCTGTGGTCATAATTCAATTCAAGTCCAAATAGACAAATAAAATCTAAAAGATTGTTTTTCTCTAATATTTATTGCTATGAAGAGGCGAAAATTTGTTAAAAAGAAAAATGAAATTGAAAAAGCAAATTTAAAATGTAAACAATTAAATCAAGCCTTTATATGTCTTTATGTACTGTCTATGGTACTGCCCCCGCCACCAGTCAACTGAGAGCAGAGTGCACACAGTATTGTCCATAAACTCTGCAGTCCCCTCTGGCCTGTTTTGAGTATTATAATGCTGAACTCAAAAAGTACACATCTGAAAAAACTGACATTATGGTATTTCACATTATTACGGTGAAAATGTGTGTTTTCCACGTATTATGACTGCAAAGATTAAAGCATGTATCGTTTCTTGACTTAGGGTTGGATACTATTTTTGGTTTCTGGTGTTTTAATGTCCATACTGACCATACATTTTTTTTTTCAAACATTTTTTACCATATTTTTAACATCCTATTTCGGTATAAATGTTGTGTGTGTTGCTGAATTGTTAACAATTTTATACCATAAATAGTACACAGTACACTTCAGCAAAATCTGTAATTTAAACAGCAAAATACTGTTCATTTTAGTGTGATTACATATTTGTGACATTACAGTATTTACCAAAGTTTTATATTTTCCACAGTAAAATTATGTTTTTTACATATTGTTACAGTAAAAATTAAAGTTCAGCACCGTTTGTTAATTTAGGGAAATTCCATATGTCTACTACACTTAAAAACTGTTTTCAACTGTTTTTTTTAACTGTAAATTCTATGAACATTTCTTACAGTGTATACAATCTTTATGCAGTCTTTCTTCTTTACATTTGGAGAGTATTTAGTACATATACTGTGTATATGTTAATTCCATGTGAGCTGAGCATCACTCCAGACATCCAAAAACCTTCTTTCTTCGGTTTATTGGCGGGTGGTAACCAACATCAAGTGCATTACCGCCATCTATTGTATTGGTGCACTGTTCCTGGAGGTACTTTGATTTACTCTATCCTTTGTCCATACATTTCCATCATCATGGCTAAAATGTCCTTTGATCATCATGGCTAAAATGTCTTTTGATCGTGAATAAAATGTCTTTTGGAGATGCCTTTTTACTCTGGAGGTTAGGGTTGATAAACCCATCAAAGAAGAAGTTTCTGTACTTAAAGCTTGTTTCAAGTGGGATACATAACTGTACCAGCTGCCAATAAACCGAACAAAGAAGAAGACCGATATTGATATACTCATGGACCAACTTGAAGCCACAAAGCCCCAGGAGTTCTGTCTCACAAAGCCCAAACCACGACCTCCTCCGATGGCAAAGCTCATCCCACAGCAGATAAAATGCAAACCGGTCAGCCTCATTCAGTTATACACTGTATTTAATTCCAATATTGCTAATCAGTTAGTTTACATATGTACCCACTGCTGTTTTAGCCTGTAGATATTAAGCTGTAGATTCTGTAGGGGCTGATTCACTGAACTCATGAGGCTTTTGTTTTATAGGTACCAATCACCAAACACAGAACTCCAAAGGAGCTGAAGATCATACAGCAGATTAAACAGGACAACAATCAGAAGACTAAGGTACAGCGTCTGATTTTACTATTATCTCCAAAAAATACTCTGATAAAAGGCAAAAGATGGTCTGTTTAACAAATATATTATAATACAGGAAATTTAAACAGAGGGGGTAGGAGTAAATCAACAGCTAGTACATCCAACAGTTAGATAAAACACAGAGAAAAATTTGCAAACATTAATAAATATATTTTATTCCAATGCATGTGGGGTTTATGGTGTTTGGACAATTTCTAAATATACAAATTTCCCGGTTTTACACGAATGCACTAATGTTTCTTCTGTTGTGTCAGCTGACACCCCCAAAACCCTGAAATGATAAATAATCACTACTTACATGTACCTAATTACATGCATTTGTAATGACATCCTATCTGTTTTCCACAGGAACTGCTGAATGAGGCAAACAGGAAACAGTTCAGATGCGGGAATCCACAGAAGCCGGAACGCACTAAGGTAGGGACTTTTTTCTGTGATTGATATGTTTTTCTCATTTTACCTCGCTGGAGGCTGGATTCAACCTTGACGTTAATCACACATTCACTTTTTACTTTGTATTGAGCCATTTTCACTGATCAGCTGTTGATGAACCATTATCTGTGTTGCAGCGAGTGATGGACCAGATCAAGAAAGATTTGGATTCAAAGCTCCAGTTACGTGCAAATCATCCCACTAAACTTCCGCCTAGTAATAAGGTTAGATCTCATTATTTCATCTGCTTCAAATGATCAATCTTTCATTGCATATGTATATTACTATCATGTAAATTAATATCTAATGTGTTCATTTTGCTGATGTTGTCAGAACATAAATGTTCCCGTCAAGCCCAACAAAGCAGTCAWGATGAGGGAGACAGCTCTGCTTCAACGTAAGAAGAAGGAGGAGCTGCAAAGGTACAGCACTGTGTTTACATGACACACGTTGACCCACTGCTCAGCATGATCAGTATCCCAAATTGGCACTGAAGGGCAAATGAAAACACCAAATGAGGAATGACAATGATTAATCACAAAACACAACGGCAAATTTGTGGAATACAGAACTAGATGCTGAATGTCCTTTGTACATTTGAAGGTTCTCTGCAATATTTAAGTTACAAATAACCAGTAGATGTTAGCAGGTGTTGGAAGCCGCCAGTGGATGTCAGGGACATAACTTCAGATGTGCGCCTCAGCATCATCAAGTGTTTAGGCGTTGTAATCAATGATGTAATCAATGATGTAATCAACGCTCAGTAGATCAGATGTCATTACCTCTATGCCTTTTCAAACTAAACACTGTCCCAATGCCTACCACCAGTTGATGTTAGCAGAAGTTAGTGACCACCAGCAGATGTTAGGGACATATCTTCAGTTGTAAACCATAGTGTCATCAGGTGTTTCTGCGTTTTAATCAGAAGTCCCCCTCTTCTAAGGCAGACCCAACACAGGCTGATCAGACCTGGGTGCTATCCCCAGCATCTTGGGGCCCAGTTGGGATCTTTGCTCCAGATCCAGAGCCATTAGATGCAGTATTCTGCAGTGTGTGATGTTTCTTTTATAGCCTGGTGTGGGGCGTGTCTGTGTCACTTCATCAACCACATCCTCCCAGGGTATTGTAAAGTGGAAAAAGAAAAAAAGTGTAGATGGCGCGGAGGGTATTAGACCAGAGTATCAAGTCTGGTCTCATGGTGGTCGTGACAATATGTGATGGAACTGTAAGCCAGTCAGTGGAGGAGGCCCTCTCTGTACCTGTTCCCCTTCTTGGACAAATGTTGTCCTGAACTGCGTTTGGTTTGGACGGCAAGGCATTGGTAGCATTTCTTATTCTGGCCCATGTTATTATTTCTTCAAGTTTCCCTAGCAACTGTCTGGTGCATGGCGATGTTGTGGTCAGGGTTGTCATGACTTTCATGTATGCCCTGATTGGTGTTAATCGGAACCCGGCCTTTGGTCACTCACCACCTACCACCCATTTTGAAGCTCTGATAATCACCTTCATCATCATGATGAACTTGAGTGGGGAGAGCTATGTAGCCAGCTATGATGCCTATAGAGGCTCATGTTATGTTCTTTGGCATGTTGCAGGAAAGAGATGGAGAAGGAGGCCAGCAAAGATATTAGGCAGAAAGACGCTGAACACAAGAGAGTTTTGGCTCTGCAGAAGAAGTCCAAGAAAGAACAGGAAGAGCTGCGGAGACTCAACCAAATCAAGAGCAGAAAGGCCAAAACCGCTGAACATGGTATTGTTTCAAGCTGAAAACAAGCTGCTCTTCTTCCTCTGAAAACTCTTCATGAATCTATAATATTTTAGAACAAATTTTTCCACTTTTCTATTGGTGATAACTTTATTTTAGTGGCATTTTCTGCCAGTACAGATCATCTCACCACAGTTATCACTCTCCATCCATTTCTGCAGGTCTTTGTAAAATGGGATCAAACTATGGATCTCTAGTTAAGGAGGCGATTGTGTTGCTGGACAAGTTCAGTGATGGCAAACAGAGTTTGGATCACCTCATAGAAGGTGCTGAAAAAGATCTGCAGGTAGGTGAAGTCAGATCTGTGTTGTATCTTTTCAGTAACACCAATTTAAATTCAATGTATACTCTTTATACTGCAATGTTTTGTTTGTTTTATCTATAGTTTTTTTGAGTGGTGGTCATTCTTTTTTATTTTAGTCATAACTTTTCCAGAAAAAAAGACAGAACATTGAGGCAGTTATCAAACAAGAAAATGTTTTGCCTGCGATTTGAAGTTTATTTAGATTTAGAAAGATATTTTTTACCTATAAGAGTGTTTTAGGTATGTTTTGAAGTGAATATAGGAACCTTGACAGGTCACCCATTGACAGGCGAAATGTTCGCCAATATTCATTATCACTCCTAAGTTTATCAAAACTCTATTGTTCAGTTTAAAAAGAAGGTCTCATTGCTTAGGAACAGTGGTCCCCAAGTAGTGTACATGTTCAGTAATCTTCAACAGAAGATTGCAGAGAAACTCTGGATCTAGGTCGTGACTGAGAGGCATACATTCACTCTTCTGCCAATTTATAGTACACCCTTATAGCTTCCCAAAGGTTTTAATAAGGTCTAACAGTGGTGGGACAGATTCCTCAGACCGTGAGAGAAATGAAGCTATGTCAGCATCTACTGCAAATGTAGTCAGAAATCTTTTTTTTTTTTCCGCAGGACATGGATGCTCAGCATAAGAAGTTCATACTTCATGTTGTCTCTGGAAGCACTGAGCACAGAAAGTTACTGGACAAAGTTGTCAGCCATTTCTACAGAAAGAATGGGGGGACGCCATCCAGCAGTGACCGGCGCCAGTTTGTCAGTAAGTTAATGAAATAAACAGGCATGAATTTTTGTTTTACTCTTGATAAAAGAACATGTTTATAACACTCTGTTGTTCCTCAGTTATCTGTTACATCGCCATATTCATGCTTGAAGACATTGGGATTCAGTGTTTTAAAGACATTGTCAAATCTCTGGGCATCAAGGAGATGCACACAGTAAGTTTCTGAACACATCACTATCCTTGAAGTGGAAAGACACAGCAATAAAAGCTCTTTTGCTTGTTTTGTTATAGTTCCTCAACTTCTTATTCACGCACCTCACCAGAAGTGCAAAGGAAGAGCGGGATGATATCTCTGAGGCTGCCTGTGTGGAGGAACAGTGGATCGGTCGCCTGCTGAGGTAAAATAGTCCTTGAAAATCCTTCTCAGACTATTACATTATAAAACAAGACATAACAGCATATGTTTGTTTATCCTAGAGTTAGACCGTTCCCCAATGTTGATTGTCTCGTGGACCAGCTAGCTTTGAAAATGTCCTGTGAGAGTCAGGTCAAGAAAGCTCCCATCAAGACCACGAAGCCCAAGGAGTTCCGTCTCACCAAACCCAAACCACGACCTCCGCCGATGACAAAGCTCGTCCCACAGAAGATAAAATGCAAACCGGTCAGCCTCATTCAGTTATACACTGTATTTAATTCCAATATTGCTAATCAGTTAGTTTACATATGTACTGACTGCTGTTTTAGCCTGTAGATAACCCTTAGGAGAACATAGACCTGGCCTTTATCCGGTAGATTCTGTAGGGGCTGATTCACTGAACTCATGAGGCTTTTGTTTTATAGGTACCAATCACCACATACAGAACTCCAAAGGAGCAGCAGGTAGGACAGAAGAACCTGCGCAGAGCATATCTTCCCAAGTAGAGCTGCCGCCCTAACTAGGTCACAGAGGTTATGTGGATATTCTTCCACTTTCCACAATTCATTTATTTTATGGTTGGGTAATATTGCTCAAGTGTTATTACACTCTACTGGATGGAGAATAAGACCCATGAATGGAAGAGAGATGAACCAAGCACGAGAAGGGGTTTCCAGTGGCTGCTTTGGACATGGAACGCAATTTCTGAGACACACCCAGACTGTCTTGGACATCTTACCATTTTTGGCACTCATTTTCTCCAAGATGTTTTACTGACAAAGCTGTTTTGAATTGTGCTTTGAGCCATCACTGTTTGAATTTTTTTTTCATATAAAAAAATAAATAAAAAGAGAATAACCATCAGAAGACTAAGGTACAATGTGTGATTTTACTCTTATCTTGAAAAATGCTCTGATATCTAAAAGGCAAAAGATGGACTGTTTAACAAATATATAATAATACAGGAAATATAAAAAGAGGGGGTAGTTTAAAGGCTGAGCACGTGAACTGAGGACCCAAAAGCACAACTGGTGGTCGTTTATTCCAGTCAGGGTTCATTATACAAAAAATAAGGCAAGACGGGGTACTCAAAAGATGTGAGGCTAAGGCAAGGTCGCTAACTACAAAAATATGGTCAACAGCACAAGACGTGGGTAGATTGTTGGAACCAGGCACATGGGGGTGGATTACACAAGGGCAGGAGTAAAGTTACCTAAAGGAAACAGACAAACGTAAGTAAAACAGGAAGTGACATAAACAGGAAATACTGAGTGTGTGTGTGTGTGTGCATGTTTTTCTATGACTTGAACTATAATCCTATATAGTTACTGATTTTTTTTTCATAGAATAAGACATTGATCTCCTAAGACAGAAATAGAAACATAGACCTTTGATGGGATGGAGAAATAAAAGATTGAAGAACAGACAGAGGGTTGGAGATAAACTGAAAGATGAACACAAGAAAAACGATGCAAGAACAATGCAATCTATGAAATAATCGATTGATTATTTCCTAAAATATTGTTCAGCAGTCCCAACGCTTCGTTTAACTTCTCTCTGTCCATTATCAATTTGCGCTACCACAGACAGCTGAGCTTTAGAGCGCCAAGAAACACTTCTTCTGTCAGCCAATCAGGAACTGAGGAATCAAACTCACATCGTTTTATTTAAAACTCTCTCACACACACACCACTATACTCTCTCACACAATACTATACTCTCTCACATACACAACTATACACTTTCATACATACATGAGTATAGTGGTGTATATGCAAGGTTATGATAGTGTGTGTAAGACCAAGTATAAATTATGTCCCAGGCGGCCCCTCATAGCAATCAGCTGCCATGCTGGTTTAGCTGTTTGTCTTCAATCTCAATGTTTTCGCGTAGGTAAGCTGAGAGGCCCTTTTCAAAGAACACATATGTAACAGCATAATAACTGAGCTGATTATTTATCAGCGACCTACAGCACAGTGAAACAGTGGTTAGCATTGGAGCCTCGTAGCAAGACGTTTCCAGTCCAAAGACATGCAGATGGTGGTTAGATCATTTGCAGACTCTAAATTGTCCTTGTGAATGTGAGAGTGCATTGTTGTTTGTCTGTATATGTTTCACTGTGATACACTGGCGACCCGTCCAGGGTGGATGGAGGGATGATTCTCTATCAGTGTTGGTCGGTGTGTTGACTGGCTCACCTTCACGGTCACACCGAAACAGGCTGTTTACTCAGTATCTAAATAACATTAATGAAAGCAGTGTTTCTCCTCATGCATGATGGTACACACAAAAAAATCCCAAATCGCAAGAGCAGAAAACACTCATTAAAACTCATTACAGAAAAATACAAGTTGTGTAACTTAATACCTTTGCCAAAGTCACACCATGAGCAAAGAGAGCATGTGTCATTGCTCTTCATCTTCCTTGGCTTGGAGTAAAATTTCCTTCTCAAAAATTCATGATTGGCCACAGGGGGCCCTTTAATTGAAATCTTCACTTGGACCACTGAGTGCTCCTCTTGCAGCCTATTCCTGAGATCGGCTCTTTACATTAACACCGTTCCTCTTCAGGTGACTCACAGGATCATCATGGTTTCCAGAATTACATTCGATCTGTGGCGGCAGCAGCAGTGGTGGGGTGGGGGTTCATGTGGCCATGTGGGAGCACACAGTTTGCGTCACAGAGCTTGAGAGACAGGCGCACAGGGAGTAAAAGAGAGAACTGCATGGTGCTCAAAACAACATGCACAGCTGCACCCAACACTATGAAGAGTTCTACCTGCCAGCGAGGAAAAACTTTAGAGAAGCTTTGATGGCCCAAGCAACACTGCAAGACTTCTGTTGGCGCTGCTGCCGCAGAGAGAGCGAGGGAGCGACTAAGAGCGAGTGAGTGAGCAAATGAGAAGAATGAAGAGAGAGACAGAGAGTGTAAGACAAAAAGCTCGGCACATGGTTCTACAAAGAAGCGATGAAGCAAAGCACTTTTTCTATTAAAATAAAATCATTTTGCTTGCATATATCTCCTTCTATCCATTTTCTAAGGACCAACACATTACTTAATGAACTTTCATGGAGCCTTTAAATTCCTTAATGTGCTCTTTTTTTTATTTTAACTACATTTCAGGAATAATAAGGATTAAGTCCTGCTTAATGCACATTGATGAGAGCTACCTACGGCAACAAAGCAAATAAGAGCGGCTCCCAAAGTTTTGATTAATCCTTAGTAAACTTCCTGATATCAGATAATTCCTCCAACTTCTAAGCTGTTTGTCAACTGCTTATTGTGGGTGAAAGAAAGTCCCAGTCATTGATTGTATAATAAGCTGCTGCCATGGCAAATCAGACAATGATTGTAGAATATACAGTTGGCACACAAATTGAATGAAAGCTGCAAACGTGGTGTCTGGAAGGTCTTCCCACATGCAGGGGGAGGTGATTTGCAGTAAGAGGTTGTCTGGAATGAATACAATAACTGTCAAGTTAAAGACAGAGTGCATTGAAAGAAACTTCACAGTAAGATTTAGGTTGTTTTTTAAGATCTGTGGAAATGGAGCTGATGACAAAAAGCTGTAATAAATTCTCATATTTACATACACATTTCTATTCGGTATGTGCAATGGGTATGACAAAGGTTAAATATTAAACGTCTCTCAGCAATCACAGAGATTTGAACCCAGATGCTGTTAAGGGGAGACATTTATAGAACAGGGGGGCACTCATCTTAGCTCAACCGGGTTGAGCTAAGATGATTCGGGTAAAGGGTGGTGCATTATACAGGAACAAAAAAAGATCGTGTTAATTCTTCAGCGGAGGTCATATGGTTTTGTTTACAGCACATCAACATTGGCTGGAGAATAATTCTGAAAATGTCCACAGCCTCTCACTCAGACATTTTCATTGTCACATACAGCCCCAGCATATCATTGCAGGACATTATTCAGCATGTCTGAAAGCAGCTTTGTGTATTTTCAGAAACTAAGGGGGCAGAAATATTCCCATTTTCCTCACCTCTGATCACTGACTGTATAATTATCCAGGTATGTAAATATTCCCCTTACATCTTACATCATCTCCTCCTGCAACCCTTCATCCTCTCTTCACTCCCTCCCTCATCCCCTCTTATTCAGTTTGGTGTTTACCTCTTGCATGTCTTATTCTAGGTACCGTCTGGGGGGGATCTGTAATAAGCTTGTGTGGAATGATGCCTGAGACAGAGTCCCTACACTGAGTCTCCCTCTGCCTGTCCACCGTTGCATCCTCCCACACCAGCCAATCAGACAGCCAGCAGTAACAAATCCATAAGTTTGCCTCAAAAGTCATTTTCTTGTCTCTTCTTTTGCCTTAAGTACCATTTATTGTTTCACTGAAACTATTTTCCAGGCTGGTCCTGTATATATTTTTGGGGCGTGGTCCTAACCAGTGAAGAGCAGAGCAAGAAAACGTGGAAAGAAATCAAAAAAGCACATATAATAAAATGTCCTTGAAGTCAGAGGAATCATCTCACATGTCCGTTGTCTGTTACTCTGTTTGACCCAGGATGTAACAACAACCATTGATCAGCCCCATAGTTAACAAGACAGGCCCGGGCTTTGATGAGCTTGTTAAGGAGAACGTTAAGCTCTGCTGCTCCTCCTCTGGTTCGGCCTGACAAGCGATGCCTCGATGCCATCAACTCACCGGCTCCGTCTCTTTATGAAAGCAGACAGAGTTCATTAAAAGTCTGGTTAGGAGTTAATTGAAAGTCACCGAGCACTGGCGGCCAGATATCATAGCTGCTCAAAGTGAGAGCGTGTGTGTGTGTGTGTTTGTGTG